ATATATATGTAACATTGATATACATTACATTAACTGCCCTACCTAGTGACCATATGGAAGAATATATGATTTATTATTGAGGAACTGATGGTAATGTCTGTTCCCTCAGATTCAGCTTTCATGGATCTGAAGTGATCAACCAATATAACAACAGTAGCCACGCCCACCAGAGCAGAGAGGACCAATCGGATCACAGCTTCAGTAAAACTACAGCAGTGGACAGCAGAGCCTGAGAGAAGAAAATAAAAATGCTGAATCAAGATCGTGCTCATGAACTAACCAAAAGCAAAACGGAGGTAAAATATTTTGAAATATTATTAGTAAAATGTATTTTTTCAGAGATTTTCTTAATGCATTACTGTCCCTAGTACAATGTACCTTCACATGGTTGACAGAGTTGACTGATGTCCAGATGTGTGGTCTGGTGGCTGATGGGATTGTTGAGCACACAGCTGTAGGTGTTGTTATCCTGATATTCCACCTCCAGAGGTAGAGAGAGACTGATGCTGAGATCAGACACACTGATGCTGGACAATAAACCGTTTCCTCTGAACCAGGAGAGAGTCACGTGACTCACGTTCACCACCGAACACAGCAGTGAACATCTGGACACTGATGATCCTGATGACCATGAACAGTTTGAAGAGTTACTGATCATCTCAGGTACAGGCAGACGAGCTGGAAGAGACGAGGGAAGCATGATGAGGTGGGACTCATCTCGATCACTTGGAGTTTGACTCTCTTTGGTTTGTGTGTTTGTAGTGATGACGGGTGTTGAAACAGGTGCTTTAAAACAAAATAAATTAAGCAGCGATGAGAGATTAATTTACAGTATGGGAAAATAATGAGAAATAAGAAAAATAAAGGTTAAGAAGACAGTGGGTCTCATTCACTAACAACTGAAACTACAGATATGCAAAAAAGAGCACACACACACTGAGTGGCCTTATAAATGTGTTAAATTATGCATATTTTATGTACGATGTAAAGGGAAGGTTGTGCAGAAAGGCCTTATATGGAGATAGTTTGGGCGTGTTTTATGCAAATGACTAACCTTGTACAAGAGGCTGCTCATTTAGACTACTCCAAATTCACTAACATTCGAACGAGGTTAAGAACAAATTCTTGTGCATACGCACGTGTGTTGTGAATTAAGAAGAGATTTTTCCAGAAAAGTTCTGCTGTGTGTACAAATACGAAATAATCCAAGCAATTATTAGTGAATGAGACCCAGTGTGACTCACCATAGACAAAAACTCTGAATATCCCCCGCAAGGAGCTGCTGGTGGACACTGTATAATATCCAGAGTCACTGAATCTGATGTTTGTGATGGTCAGAGATCCAGTCGGATGCAGCTTCGCTCGGCCTCTGAATCTCCCACCAGCGCCATCAGATGGAAAGATGCTGTCTTTATAGGTTATGTGCCAGTTATCAGATTCAAAAGTCCACCGTATGTGATCATTTCTCTCAATGTTCGTAGCATGATAATGAAGAGTGACAGAATCTCCTTCTATCACCGATACTATCTTTATTTCTTTTGCCTTGACATCTGCAATATATTTATATAAAAAGATCCATGAGAGATACCAGCTATCCAAGAGATTCGTCCATGTGCTTCTTCAATAAACACAAAACCCATTCATTAGGAGCAGAATTAATATAAAAACTACACTCACCCTGAGCACATAACACAAGACAACAAGCTCCACAGGAACATTTTTGAAGGCTGACTGGTAGTTTAGTGGCTTCAGCAGAGCACAAAAATATCTGATAACCTTCTTCCTGTTATGAGAAGGTTTCTACAGAAAGCGACGGCACGATCATAATCACTGCATTCTCAAAAATGATCTGATTTATATAAATAGACTACTATCAGACTGAAGGTTTAGTCTCAGATTGTCATCACACACTGCACCTGAAACTAAACCTATAAGCACATCTTGTTTTTGAACTTTCGAAAACAACAAAAGGTCTTGTGTTACTATTACCGAGGTGAAATTGAAATCTGACTGAATCCAGATTACTTATATTCTTCACTTCGTGTTTAGGAGGCATGTAAATGTGATCATCCTCATGTAAATTATCAATGGCCATCTCCCCGCAGGATTTTGTAATTTAAGGACAACAAGGGAAATCTCAGCAAGAAAGACATCACTTATAGGCAGTCTTGAAATTTGTTTCTGTGAATAAAAAATGCACAATGCAACAAAGAAATGAACAACAAGATCAATAGCATGGTCACTGCCAGAAAAAAAATAAAGAAAAATATTTCAGAATCACATTTTATTAAAGGAGATAGATAACAACTTACATTTTCCCAGAAAGACTTGTGGATGAAGCAAAGTTTCCTCCTCAACTTTGCAGATAGGCCTACATCAATTTGGGATTTGGCTGGATAGACATTATGTAGAATCTTAGTTTATTTTTATTAGAAATACAACATTTTCCAGGGAGTAACCAAGCTCTCTTCCCGTGAATACTGCGTAAGAAATTGTTCCCGACAGACCCAATCACAAGCACACAATCATGACACCACACCCTGTTTTCATAGCAATGATAGAAAACATCTTTGGGAAAAAGTTATTTGATGTGTAATTAGATTTTTATTTTATTTTTTGACTCACATCCCATTCGTTTACACAGAGAGGGCGGGTTATACTGCAGCCGGCCACCAAATGTTTTTTCAGATTAATATCTTTTAATGAAATTCGGATTTGTCTGCCTTTGTTTGGTAAATCATAAATCTAAATGGTCAAAACACAATTTTAAATACAATAGTTGATTTAGTACATTACAATGACATGTAAATTAACGACACTTATATTGTTGTATCCAATGCAATAGATGCAGTCAATCACAAGCAATTGTCCTGAGTGATTTAATTGTAGAAGGTTTGCAAAGGAGACAAGAAAAAGACAATAAGAAACAGAAGAAGAAAGAGAAAAGCAATAAAAATGCCTGGTGTCATGCATCTTTACATTGTTAGAAAATGGCTGTGGCATCCATGTTTCTTGTTCACAGCCACAAGAGGCCATAATACTGCTATGCTTATTTTTGCTTGAGTTAACTATTGCAGTTTTGTTGGTGATGCCTTCAAGTGCATTTGAGAAAACTTTTGATGTTTTGTTTTTTAAAAAGGACAAGCATTTCAGTTTGTCCCACCCAAACTTCCTTTAAACACATGCTTATGTTTCTCTGAAGAGGTGAGACCAGCATGACACTTTTTTAAAACAAGTTTAAACTGTATTATATTCAGATTACACTAATGACTGTTTTCTCTGTGTATTACAGCACTGGACGAATGTTTAGGTATTATAATGTCATTAGCACTACTGGTGTCCTGTAGTTGTGAGTTTAATTTACCGCAGAAAATGTAAACAAGGAAAAAAATGCAAGTATTGACATGCAAAAATAACATGAGTAAAATAACAATTTTAATCACTATCTTAACTTTATACAATTTTCTTATTCAGTGAGAGATTGTCGGCATCGTGACCGGACATGAAGAAGATCAAACAAACTTTTTGGCCGTCGCGATGGATTTAGTAGTTAGATGCTTTTTTAAAATGTCTTTATTGTTTGTTGCTCTTTGAATTTTTGAATCAAAAAGGAGACAGTAAATGGATTGGAATATCCAAGTGTATTTTTGAAAGTATGGCCATTGCGTATTATTGTCAATCTATTCAAATACAAACAACGCGTCAGAAACAAGATCGTAAAATAGACAATCATGCAGCTACAAACAATCTGTGCTCATTGATTTCAGAGAATAGTTTACGGACTTTTCTGCCTCCATAAACCCTCTGCCCCACATTTTAATTTTTGATTGTGAAATCATTCAGTTTGGATGTGTAGCTAACATGTAATTATTAATAGAATAAATGTACCTTTCTGGCTGCCATTGGTTGTTAAATTACACAATTTTAAATAAAATAGTTGATTTAATACATTACATTAATTACATGTACATTAACGACACTTATATAAATATGAATAAGAATGATATCAAAGGTAATTTTGATATTTTGTAAGTACATGTGCTATGACACGTAAATGAGAAAATGTTCCTTTTTATTTTCTATAATAACTCTTTAGCTGATGCATCAACGTGCTTATATCTAATGATGCTACAACTGAAGAGTAAATGCACTGTTGTTAATAATGGGGCATCTTCCTCTGTGTTGTAAAAGCTGTACATTATGTGAAAATGTTTTACGATAGTTTAAAATATTGTTACAAGTATTCTGTTTTTTTTTGTGAATTTATAGCCACAAAGGGGCGACGTATCCTGAAAAAAAAAATGAAAAAATAATAATAATAATAAATAAATAATGAAATTGTATTATTTGAGTCCCAATAAGATGGAAAATAGCAATTAATTATTTTTCTGACGTTTGTTTATGGTCTTGCCCTTGTTAGGGTTTAATGACCATACAGAGACCACACAAAAAGTAGGCAGAAAAATACTGTGACCATGCTCATTTGCTTTGAGTGTGTTTGTATTTGTTTTGACACGTATTTTTATGTCTCATATTGTTAGAAATAATAATAAAGTATAGAGTAGTTTCAAACACTTTTAGCATGTCTTGATTGCTTGAATGCTGTTTCTAAACAATGAAATAAAGTGTGAATACAGTGAAATCTCTGCTGATGATCATGTAAAGCTTGTCAGAAGTGCTGATTTAATGTTAATAGTTCCTGTTTTCACCTTCATTCATGACACTGATGTCTTCAGATCAGCTGTAAACTGCCACTTAAAGCTCATTACATTGCTGTAAACAGACTGAAACCAACTACAGTTCAACTAATTGAAGTGTTTTTGTTGCTTTCACATCTGTACAATTACTTCTGAATCAGTTTATTCTTCTGTTTTATTCATATATTCTTATATTTGATTTATTTTATTTATATTTGTGTATTCATCTATGTCTTTGTTAGTTTGTTCTTATGATAAGAAGAGGTTAAGGTTTATATTATATCGACTCGCAAATAAAATCAAAAACTCATAGAATGTGAACTTTTACTTTAATCTATCAGAGAGATCCAGAATCCTGCAGAATGGAACACGAAGAGACTGAAGAACAAAGAGGTTGGTGTTCATTTTTGAATCCTCATTAATGATTCATGAACATTAAAGTCGTTATATTTGTAGTATGAAAAGTCATATGGGTTGTGAGATGTTATTTCATATTTAGTTAAAATATCAAGTAATACACAGGACACTTTCTATGAACTGGGTACAAACTGGAGTCTAAAACTGAAATGTTCTTTTCTGTCTTTTTTTATTTTCAACAAATGGTCAATGAAAGGAGGTGTGAGAAAAATCCAGATTTCCGGAATTTGATTTACATCTATATACGTTTTTGAAAATTTAATAAATTAAGTAAAATATCATTTATATTTACTTGTAATGAACTTAAGTTTATTTTAAATTATAGAAGTCAGTTATGGTTATTTTTTACCCTTTTGGTAAAAGAGTTGATGAATGCAGTCAAAACTACTCCGGGTGTGTGTTCACTACTTACTGCTGCAGTGGTTCCCAATCCTGGTCCTGGAGAACCCCCAACACTGCACGTTTTTGGTGTCTCTCTTATCTGACACTCACATTTGAGGTCTTGGAGTCTTCACTAATGAGCTGATGAGTTGAATCAGGTGTGTTTAAATAGGGAGACATCTAAAATGTGCAGTGTTGGGGGTTCTCCAGGACCAGGATTGGGAACCACTGTACTGCCGTGTGTGTTCACTTGGATGGGTTATATCAGTGTTTCCCAACCCTGTTCCTGGAGGCACACCAACACTGCACATTTTGGATGTCTCCCTTACTTTGGATGTCTCCTGGACATGTCTCCTACTGACGAGCTGACGAGTTGATTCAGCTGTGTTTGATTAGGAAAGGTTGGAAAATGTGTTGGTGTGCCTCCAGGAACAGTGTTGGGAAACTTTCACTTTCACTACAGTTTGTGTAAAAGCTGAGATTGGATTGAGATTCAGTGGGTCAGTGCTAATGCTAAAATGGTTAATTTAAATTGTTTTCATTAATTTTAAAATATGGATTTGTGCCTGTATTGTTTTACAAATAACAACTGATCAATGTGCCTAATTCATGAAAAGTTCCAGGGACATATACTTGTTTATTAAAATGTAGTCAAAATCCACTGTACTATTGTATTGCAATTGTCTGTGTTCTGGTGTTACATTCGAGTTCACTTTTTCATTTCCCTTTAATTTTAAATGGATGATATACAGAAAATAAAATCCCCCATGAGTGGTTTGGAGAATAGATGGATAAAAATAAAAGTTTTGTTCTTATTTTAGACTTGATGGAACAGATCGAGGAGAGTGAAGGAGAGGAGAAAAATCATCATGTCAAAACTGAAGAAAAGTCATTTAGGGCAGCCAAAAATGATTGCCCTCAGACCGGAAAGAGATTCCCAAACACAAAAAGTCTTAAACTTCACACGAGGGTTCATGGTGGAGAGAAGATGCACACGTGTGATCAGTGCGGGAAGAGTTTCACACGAAAAGACAACCTGAAGATACACATGAAAATCCACACTGGAGCGAAGCCGTACTCATGTGATCAGTGCGGGAAGAGTTTCACACGAAAAGACCACCTTAAGAGTCACATGAAAACCCACACTGGAGAGAAACCGTACTCATGTGATCAATGTGGGACCAGTTTTACACAAAAAGTAAACCTTAAGAAACACATGACAATCCACACAGGAGAGAAATCACACTCATGTGATCAATGTGGGAAGAGTTTTGCACAAAAAGACCACCTGAAGATACACATGACAATCCACACTGGAGAGAAACCTCACACATGTGATCAGTGCGGGAACAGTTTTGCACAAAAAGGAGCCCTTAATGTTCACATGAAGATCCACACTGGAGAGAAGCCACACGCGTGTTCTTTGTGTGGAAAGAGTTTTAGTGTGCGGAGTGGCGACACATATGATGATCCACAGCGGAGAGAAACCGCACACATGTGATAAATGTGGGAAGAGTTTTGTAAAAAAAGACCACCTTAAGGGGCACATGAAAATCCACAATAGAGACAAGCCACATGTTTCACACTCTTAAGTTACATCTGCATTCTCACTGTGGACAACATCCATTTAACTGATCAATACAGTAAAAGAACGAGCATTATACCTGAAGAAACGTGGGGAAGTTTGTACAAAGGACAAGCCTCACTATTGTTTTATGGCTGGGTGTTGTGGGAAAACAGATGTAAGAATGAGTTTAAGATTCACTGATCTTGTGTCTTGATTTAACGTCACATGAAAAGCTAAGGTGAACGACACTGTATTGGTCCTTCAACATGATGAAGTTTAGTGATTAGATTCAGTAGTTTCCAGTGAGAGTCAAACTATGTGTGAACGTTTAAATGCCTCTAGTTCTCTTGTTTAAACCATTCGGGGTACTATCATCTTTAGGGACTAGGTTTGCTAGAGCAATTTTTTGTATTGTCTTTCGATGCTTTGTTTAAGGAGTCACTTCTGAGGCTGTGTGTAAGTTTAACTGCCTATAAAATACAGTGCATCACATTTTCAATAAAGAATCCTGCTGAAGATACGCCCGGATCTCCTGGTCTTTGCTTCTGTGTGTCCTATTACCTACCCTGTAGATTAAACCATGAGTGCAGACCCTGATTAAATGATCTGCTTATGTAAGCATAATAATAAAAGAAAACGCTTTAAGGTAAATAGGATAAAAAGTAGTGCAAAAACTGTATACAATAGAGCTGAAACAACAAGTGGACAAATTCAGGGAATATGCAAAAAAAATAGAGCTCAGTTATTAGATGTTGGATGATTGGTTCTAATCAGTAAATATAATCATCAAGTCAGAACAACGAAGCAGCATGCAGTTTTACAAACAAATCTAATAATTACGGTCTTCATCTCATGACATAAAAATCAGCTCGTGCTAGCATTGCAGATATTTTGCATTTTGTTGTGTTATTGTTTTAAGGCAACTCTATAACTTCAGAGATAACTTCATCTGATCGAGTTTTGAAGCAGCATATATGTATCCTTATCTGCCTTAGATATCCCACAATCCTGTGCATTCATTAATTCCTGACAAGTTGAGCTAAAAATAAAAGATGGCCTCTGAAAGCTGAAGCTGGTTGTCATTTTGTTTTGACCAACCTTTCCCCCTTTTGATGTAATTTCGAGCGATAAATTATTGTTGTAGTAATTAAATGTTCACTTAGCTATCACCAAAACTCTCAATTTTGTTGTAGATCGTTCAAAAGTTATGCTGCCTCAGAAGTCTGTCTGAAATCAGTTTTATTAGGTGCCTCTGTGCACAAACGCTTAACTGTTGAAAAGGACTATATTTAGATAAATGTGGATGTATATTTGCCGCTGTGTGTAGTGTTTTACCTGTACGGTATAATTAAAGGGCTTCCACACAGAAAGAAAACAGAAAAGCTACTGTAAAAGTGAGTGTGATTTGTATTTGTTGTGATGTACTGCTTTATTCATCTCAGATTGTAAGAAATAAAACCGTTGCAGATTTTTATAATCCTACATCAATGTTCCTGACTCAAATAAACTATTTCTACCGCAGACACGTATAAGTGAGATCTCTGCTAATGATCATGTAAGGCTTGTCTCATAAGTGTTACTGTTAACATCGCTGACTTTATGTTAATAGTTCCTGTTTTCACCTCATTCATTATGCTTATGTCTTCAGATCATGTGAAAACTGCCACTTAAAGCTCATTAAACAGGTGTCAATGGACTGAAACAAACTGCTCCATCACCACTATAGAAATCTACAAGATGTGAATCTCATAACAGAATTTATTTCATCATAGTTTTGGAAAAACCATGTTTCATGCAAAAACAACAACAATCTAATAACACGACCAAAAACTAAACTAAATGACGAGTTAAAAGAAGTTCAGCTCGACTGGGGTGTTATTTGCTGCTTACAATTCTGTACATTTATTTCTGAATTAGTTTATTCTCCTGTTATTATTATTATTGTGTTTATTCTTGATCCCTCATGAATGATTAATGAACGTTAAAGTCATAAAACGTTAACGTTCAAGTTGTTCAAAATTGTGATGATAAAGTTTTGAACGTTTCAAATTGAGCAAAGCCTGATTTCTATTTACTTCAACTTCAATTGAACTTAAATTATGTTAGTCATTCATAGTTATTTTTTAAACTTTTGGTAACAGGGTTGATGAATGCAGTCAAAACTACAATTTGTGTAATAGCTGAAATAGGGTTGAGATTCAATGGGTTAATGCTAATAAATGCAAAATAATCCATATTTTTATTATAATCAATAATTTCCATTAAATTAAGTATATATCTGAGATATTGTGTCAGAATCTTGGGATTTGTGCCTATAATAGAAATAAAAATAACAACTGGAAGATCAATATGCCAAATTCATGGGAAGTTCCAGGGATTGTTTAATCAAAAATTCTTGCCCTCAGGGTGGAAAGAGATTCACAAACATCAAAAGTCTTAAACTTCACATTTCATAGTGAAAAGAAGCTGCACACATGTGATCAGTGCGGGAAGAGTTCCCTTTCGATACTACACTCGTACTGCGTCGCTAGATGCTTATGGGGAAAACTCCTTTTTCTCCGATGACTGAAGCCTTTTTCAATCATGCAGTGTAACTGCATGGTCATTGGTTCATGCAGTGAAATAAAAACGAACCAATGGCTCGGCAGCAGAGCTGCACAAACCTATGGCGATGAAGCCCGCCAGAATGGGCAAGGCCATCTGGCTATTTAATTCGATTTAAGTTTATTTGTATAACGCTTTTCACGATACAAACATCCAGACTGAAGCTTGTATAAATCCTAGTTACCACGGGATGTCAATCCCATAGCAAAACAATAGAAACAAATAGAGACATAATTAGCGTAGCTGCTGTTCCAACCAAGTAAAATGTATTTGTTTAACCCAAGCTAAAGAATAATAATGTGCATTTGATCAGATATAACTGCAGTATAAGATTATGAGATGCATTATTTGAATGCTTGGCCAAAGAGATGTGTCTTTAATCTAGATTTAAACAGAGAGAGTGTGTCTGAACCCCGAACGTTATCAGGAAGGCTATTCCAGAGTTTGGGAGCCAAATGCGAAAAAGCTCTACCTCCTTTAGTGGACTTTGCTATCCTAGGTACTACCAAAAGTCCAGAGTTTTGCGACCTTAGGGAGCGTAATGGATTGTAGCGTGGTAGAAGAGTAGTTAGGTACGCAGGAGCTAAACCATTAAGGGCCTTATAGGCAAGTAATAATATTTTGTAACTGATACAGAACTTAATAGGTAGCCAGTGCAGAGACTGTAAAATTGGGGTAATATAATCATATTTTCTTGACCTGGTAAGGACTCATTTTGGACCACCTGTAGCTTGTTTAT